CCCTCCCCCCCGGGGAGAGAGAAGGCTTAATGGCCTGCTTAATTATTCATGACGCACGCATGTTAGTTGTCACTGCAGCCGCCGTACACGTAAACAACTCACCGCGGGCAAGGTCGCGACCTTTCTACATAAAGGTCGTGACCTTTCTACATGAGGGTCACGATCTTTCTACATGAGGGTCACGACCTTTCTGAACGACCTTCCAAGGTCAAATGTTAAAGTGCGATTCAATCCTCATTATTCACACATATATCCTTAGTATCATCGCCCGAGTGATTATAGGAAATCCTGCGCGCTGATTGGTCAAGACCTAGGTGAATATATTTCTATATTCACCTCTAGGGTTTACCACATTGTAATGGCGCCAAAAATGGCGGCTAGATTTGTAAATGTTACGGAAGCCGAAATGGACAAATTTAAAAGAAATGCTGTCCCCAAAAATACCAAAGATGTGACAAAATTGGGAGTTAAACTATTTAAAGGTAGGTAGTTAAATTCAAGCTTATTATTGGTTTTTGTTACTCTGATTTCCAACAGATGGCAGGCACTACCTAATTTAAAGAAAATGGTTGCCGACACTTGTTTACATCTAATTTTACGAAACGTTTTGTCAACAGAGTGGTTTCAGCCCTTAGTTCTTTGAAAAAGGTAATGAATCACTCGGGCAATCATACTAAAACAGAAACCTCAACTTCGCCTCAGGGATTATTCAACAAGATTCACCTCGCCTTCGGCGAATAACTGTTAATTATTCAATATCTGGGACAACATCTTCAGACGTGGCTGTATTCCAGCACTCTCGTTAACATCAGCCTCCCACTAACAGAGCTTCTTCATTAAGGTTCGCACCGAGAGGATCCCTCGTTAAGCAGCGAGCGCTCGTTAGCGCTCACGCCTCGTGAGGAGGGATGCTTGTTCACGCGCGATGCGAAGCGTCTACACGGACACTCGAGGACCGCAGTGAGGGCTCTCACGTATGTACACACGCGCGCGCGAGCAATTATCCACAGTCGTAAACAGCATACGCAGCATCCCTCGCAGCATCCCTCGCAGCATCAACGCTGACGGCAAACAATCGGACGTCCACGCGCGGCCCGGGAGCGCCCTACGACAGCGCCCCCTGCTGGCAGGCAGAGGAACTAGTGGCGCGTATTGTTTTCCCGCGCGGCGGTGAGAGGCGGCGCAGAGGCCGTAATAGCATCTTCTCGTTTAGGGAAGCAGGAAGCCACGATTGCGATCAGCAGCAGACGGCGCGCGAGCGGGTAATTGCGCGGGAATGTTTTCTGCTGCAAGCAGACGATCTCCGGAATCTCTGCAAATGGATCGGTTTTTTTTAACGCAAAATTGGGTTTTTTTCTCTCGCTCCCCCCCGCCTCTCTGCTGCTCTCTCTCTCTCCTCTCCTCTCCCCTCTCTCTCCTCTCTCCTCTTTCTCTCTCTATCTCTGCTTTCTGACTCTCTATCTGTCTCATCTCTCTCTCTCTCCTCTCTCTCTCCTCTCTCTCTCTTGAGTCTGCTGCTCTAGTCTTCTCTTCTCTCCTCTCTCCGTCTCGCTCACTCGTACGCTCTCTCTCGTCCTCTCTCGCTCGTCGTCTCTCTCGCATCGCTTCTCCCAGCTCTTCTCTTTCTCAGCTCTCCTCTTCTTTCCTGCTCCTCTGCACTTGCTCTCTCTCTCCTGCTGCTCGTCTCTCTCTTCTCTCGGTTCTCTCTTCTCTCCTCTCTCTCTCGCTCGTCTTCTCTCTCCTCTCCTCTCTCTCGTCTCTGGCTCTCTCATCTTTCTCTCCTCCCTCTCTCTCTCTCTCTCTCTCTCTCTCTCTCTCTCTCTCTTTTCTCTCTTCTCGGGTCTCTCTCC